ATACTGCAGGTCCTTTGGACCAGCTGGGGCAGGTGTTACCCAACCACACCCCCTGCCTCCCTCTCAACCCACACACACCCGAGCCTCCCACTGCAAGCGCTTTGACAATATCCTGCACACTCTGCCACCCTCCCCTGGGAGCGGCTGTCCGTGCGAGGAAGGGACCTGCTCCCAATCCCACTAAATTGTTATTGACTTGTGTTCTGTGCGTTCTGCAAACATTTCACTCAGCCGTCGCCAGCAAGCCCACGAATCCCTGCTAGGGCTAACGGGGAAGCCAGCTGTGCCGGGCCATCTCGCCCGCTCCTTCTCATCGATCACAGAATTAAACTGACGGGAGCGCTGCGGGGCGGTGTGGGAGAGGCCCGGCCGAGGCCCAGGAACCAGAGAGTACAGGCCGCCCAGCGTACCTGACATGCAGCCTGGCCCGACCAGAGGAAGTCAGGGAAAACCGCTTCTAAGGCAGCCTCGAGTGCCGGTGATAGACAGCGAGGAGCCCGAAGACCAGAGGCCACCAGCTGAGCCACTGGTGCCTGGCCCGTGACATGTGAACACAAAACAGTATTGGATTCATCATTGTTTGACCACTGGAAGATCTGACCTGGAAATCAGTTTCAAACCACTCTGAGGAAATCAGGTCTGGCCACCCTGGTCCCACGTCCCACAGCGAGACCTGCAGAGCTACTGTGCGTTTATGTGACCCGTGCACTCCCTGTTGATTCTGACGTCCAGTGTGACACTGGCACATTCCTTCCTGTCACCAAGCAGGGCTGCAGGAGCCTCCCGCCGGCCTCCTTCCTTCTGTCCTCGCTGTCTCTGCAGCAAGTCTCCCTGCCTCGATACCTGCTGCTCTCCCGGGCGGCACAGGATTCCCACTCACACAAACCAAGCCCAGAGGACCCCAGGCCATTGTGTACCCCTTCTCCTTGAGGTGGGTCTTTTAGGCTTCGGGTCAGCATCTGCATGAATGCTGCCCTGTGGCTGGCTCTGCTCTCACTCGGGGTGGACCCTCGGCAGGGTGAGTGTTTATGGGACCTTGGGCTTGGCTGTGGTGTGAGGTAAAGGTCCCAGAGTGCAGAGCTTCTACCCAGAGGACTTCCCCCGAGCCCAGGGAGCATACATCCAACTTGGGGGATTCCTAGAAAAATCCACACTCAGCCTGCCGCAGTTAAGCAAGCCCCCAGCTGCCTAGAACCCCATTCCTGCCTGTGTCCCAGCTTTCCCATGGCCCCCCAGACCCCCTGGTTGCCAGGTGCTAGCCATCATAAACACCTGATAGTACATTTAACACTTCTTGTCCTCCTTGGCTTATGCCTTCGGGCACCTGAGTGTTCATCCTTGTGTTAGCCACAGTCTTGAAGGCCTTGTGACTAGTCATATTTTGCATTTTGAAATGGGATCTCTCCATTGCGCAGGCTGGCTTCACACCACCAGGCTCGGGCCATCTTCCTGTGCCAGCCTCTCTGGTGCTGGGGTTCCAGGCATGGCCAGCAAGTTGGGAACTATGTTCCTAATCAGCTCTGTCTCCATTCAGTAACTGAGCCCAGACAGGGGAAGCGCCTGGCCTGCTGCCTCCAGCCAGAACGGAGGTCTGCTCCTGGCCTGCTAACTTCCCATCCTGGGCTGTCTCGGTCTTGTCTCTTCTTCGCAGGCCCTTGCAGCATCCTTTCTCCCTGTCAGCCTGCCCGCCTCTCCTCCCAGGAAGCGCTTTCTCTTGTCCTCCCGCAGGCCCTCCACCCGCGCCTTCCACACAGGCGACATTGCCAGCCAGGGAAGGGAGAGATGCGGGCTGGCATTCTGTCAAGGAATTAATTGAAAAATAAAACCATTAGGTGGGAACTGGAGAAATGCAGAAGTGGTGTTTGGAGGTTGGGGGGAGGGGGCAGGACTGGGGGGCTGCTGGGGGCCGGCCGAGCTTTTTGTCAGGTTCGTTCCTCGGCATTGATGTTTGGTGACAGTCACTTCTTGTTTATCTTCAGGAGCAGCTGCGTCGTGGAGGGAAAATGCACGGCTTGTTTCGTTTATTTATTTCACACCTTTCCTGGGTTCTGCTTTGTGTTTGTTTGGTGAGGACCCACTGAGGCTTCCGATGTGGGGAAGTGGGGTTTCCACAGCTGTTCTGCCAGGCAAGCCGGCACTCCGTGTGGAGGCAGGCCAATGGGGGGCTGGGTGGCAGCGAAGACGCAGGGCCCAGTGTGTCCTACTGGGGGGGGGGGGTGGCGGGATGGGGGTTCTAACCCCAATCCCTGACTGTGAACTCAAGGTGCACAGACTCCTTCGTCCTCACAGCTGCCCCAGGAGGTGGCAGAGAACAGTGGCAGGCTCAGCATGACTTGGCTGCTGATGGAGGAGTCTGGAGTCCTGGAGTTGTGGTCACTGCCTGGCCCCTTTGTCCCAGGCCTCCAGCACTTTCCTGGACAATTCGTTTGTTTGTTTGTTTGTTTTAAGATTGATTTATTATGTATAGTGTTCTGTCTGCATGTTTGCCTGCAGGCCAGAAGAGGGCACCAGATGTCATTACAGATGGCTGTGAGCCGCCATGTGGGTGCTGGGAGTTGAACTCAAGACCTCTGTAAGAATAACCAGTGCTCTTAACCACTGAGTCACCTCTCCAGCCCAACAACTTGTTTTCTAACCTGCAGCTAAAGGAATGGCTGGTTGTTCCCCAAGCCCTGGGCTCCTCTTACTGACTCTGCAGGTGGCAGATGGTCACTCACACTGGGCCGAGCAGAAGTCAAGTCACTTCCTCAGGGAGGCCAGGCCTCTGTGGAGGCTGGTTCCCTGCCTCCTCTACCTCCCTAGAAGTCTGAATGTGAGCAGAGTGACTAAGTGTGCTGAGTGCCAGCGAGCAAAAGGAGCACCCATGGGCTCCAGGGGCTATGGAGGTGAGAGGTCGCATGTGCACTGCCTCTAGTGCACCCTAGAGGCAGAGTGTGGAGCATCCACTCCCTGGCAGGAGACCTGGTGACTAAGGGAATGACCCCAGGCAAGAAGATGGTCCCTGCATCTGGGTGCTCGAGAGAACAGCTCTTTAGAAAGGGGACAAAGGCCTGGACGAGGTAGAGATCTCTGTCTGGTGCCATGCCATGTCCCCAAGGCCTCCTGTCCGAGGACAGTTAGCAGGGCAGTGTTCACAGGCCCCACTCAGGAGTCAGTTGGATTCTGTTTGTGGCGCCAACAGCAAGTGTTGACCAGGTCTCTGGTGTGAGAGAAGTCGGGGGGAAACTTCATGGAAAACGTTCTTGGCCTCATAAATCCTTCAGAATGTCTGGCCCTCCTGCCATAGCCTGACCACTTTGACCCCTACTGTTCCCTGGCCATCTTGAGTCATTCAGTCACTCATCAGACATTTCCTGAGGGTGCCAGGTCCCAGGGCAGTCCCAGCAAGAGAGAGCATTCCAGACAGGTCATGGCAGTGCAAAGGCCCCGGGGTAAGAGGAGTGGGTACCAGGATCAGGAAATGATCAGTTCCTGTGAACTATTCACCAGCAGTATGACAGCTTCGGCCTCCCCCAGGAACAGGGCACAGCGGAGGTGCTGCAGAGTGGTAGGTGGGCTCTGGCTTTGGTTTACCCATTGGCTTGACCATCTCTCTGGCGGCCTCGAAGGTCGCAGCGGGAGGGGCGTCAGACACAGGCCGGGGAACTGCTTTGTTGTTGTCTATTTCCAGCCCTATTACCTGCCCACGATTCAATTTCCTGAGGCCATTGTGCAGCCAGGATGAGGCGCAGAGTGAAGAGTGGACGCGGCAGGGAGCCCACCCGCTTCCTCCCTTGCTGCAGTTGGCCATGATGGGCATAGCTGCCAGACCTTGGCTCCCAGCCAGTGTCCCCGCCCCTCCACCCTGCCAAGTCCTGTCCCCACAGCACAGCCTCCAGCCCAGCCCTGGGCTCCTCCGTTCATGCCTCTCCCACTTGGATGCCTCACGGGAGCCCCAGCTGGGGACAGTGTCCCAAACAGAAGTGCGCCTGCTGCACAGTGGGAAAGGGGGGCACAGACTGTGGCCAGGGAAGTGGGGAGCCAGGGCAAGGGAGATCAGGGCGTAGGCTCTGCAGGATCCCCTAGGGCAAGGCAGAGTTGACAGGGAGGGTTGGAGGTGGCTGGGTCAGAGAACCACCATCAGGAGGTTGGCAGGGTCCATATCCTCATAAGCATTGGAAGAATGAGATGAGGGGAGGGTACTCCAGGACCATTCCCACACCCCAGGAGGAGCCAGACATGATGCCCCCATTTGCTGAGGTCAAGGGTTGGGTGTGGGGGAGCTTTACATAAGGAGTTAGAGTCTCCTGAAGGCAGGGATTTGGGTGGGCAGCCTTTTTATAAATTTGGCCTTCACTAGTGAATGGGTGGTCAGGCTGGCAGAGGGACAGCCTCCCCGTTTCCTCGTCTGTGGGGTTGTTGAAGACACAGGTGTCATAGCATACAGTGGGTGCTCAATCAGTACACAGAGCAGCTGTGTGTCTAAATCCCCCTGTACCCCTTCCTCATAGAAAACTCTGCTGCACTCATCAAAGCCCAAATCAGATGACCCCTCTCCTGCAAAGCCACCCTCATTGCTATGATCCCCATGCCTCTCTAGATTCCTTGGGCACTGCAGCCACGTACCCAACATTGACTGATCTGCTTCCAGCCACTCAGCCACACCCTGGGGGTCCTTGGCTGCCACAGAAACAGAGCTGGCTCCTGCTTCTCCGCCCAGCTGTTGCCGGAGTTGGCTAGGCCTCTGGTTGGCAGGAAGGAAGCAACTCTCAGGTGGCCACTGGCTCCCTAAAGTGGGTCCTTTGCTCTGTGGCAAGGATGGGAGAGGGTACAGAGGTGACCAGCAGCAGGGGGAGGCCAGAGAGAGGCGCCTGGCTGAAACTGGACTAACCAGGGCCTGTGTGTCCTCTCCTCCTTCTCTGATTCCCCATTCGCTCTCCTTATGCCCGCCCCACACCTCTGCCTCCCCCTCACTGTTTAACCCTCTCTGGGTCTTTTCTCCTCTCTGCCATCTGCCGCAGAGCCCCCGAAGAAGAAGCGATCTGCAGTGTTGGACGGGATCCTGGAGCAGCTGGAAGATGGGGACAACGGCGATGACAGCGAGCAAGCTCTTCAGCTGTGAGCACCTGCCCTGGGCAGCCACGTGAGGGGCAGAGACTCTGGTGGGTACAGTGCACAGCCAGGGTCGAGCCCATGGGAGGAGCAAGCCGCTGTCTAGCGGGGACTCGCACCTCAACCCTGCTCACCAGCCACGCAGGCCGGCCGCACCCAGCCAGGCTCCTGCAGCCATCTCACCCTCTGCAGCGCTGCCGGCCAGAGGACGGAGCTGCGGACGCCACCTCAGACGCAGAGCCCTTCCCAGACCTGGAGCGTCACGTTCCAAGCCCTGATGCCAGGTTCGCAGGCCAGACTGAGCGTTCTATCACCATTGCCTCTGAAGGTGGAGGCCCTGGGAGCCCTGTCCAAGCCTCGCCCTGGGCCAATTGACCAACTGCAGAAGAGGACATGGCATCAGGCAGGGAGCGGGGCCACCGCCCTTCACCCACTGTCCAGCCTCAGCTCCACCACCCCTAGCGTACAGCTTCAGACCTATAGTACAGCTTTTGAGCTCCGGTGATGTCTGCTCAGTGCAGGCAACAGGCTGGCCATGGTGGCCTCAGCTAGCCATACCATGTTCAACCATCCAACCCAGGAAGATCTGAGAAGACTCCTCCCACTTCTGAGTCGTCATCACCGGGACTGTGGGTGCTGGACAGGACTCAGCAGGGGTGCCAAGCCTTCGGACTTTTTTGGGAGAATCTTAGCCTTTGTGGGTTTTTTTTTGAGGGGGAGGATGAGGCCCTGCTTTTCATAGTGGCCCATACCAAAGCTGGGACCACACCCTGTGCGTGGGATTGGCACTTTGTTACAGTCCAAGGGCGCTGAGAGTTAGGCAGTAAAAGTCAGAACCTAAGAGCGGCTCAGCTCCCTCTACCTCATTTCAGATATCACCCTACACCAGCCTCCACCGGTGGCCCTGCACAGAGGGGTCAGGTCACTCGCTGCCTGCCACACCAAGGCTGGACCATCAGGAACCATGGCCCGGACAGGATGGGACGCTTCTCTGCCCTACCAAGGTGTGCCCACATGTCACAGAGAGCCTGGGGCAGAAAGCCACGGTCTGTCACCAGCATAAACTCCCCAGGATGACACAGGAGCAGCTAGACTCTCCCCCAAAGCAGGGTCCACAGGGCACCTATGCTTGTCCAGCCTGGCCCCTGCGACAGTGACCCTCTAAGCTCTAGAGTTCAGAGGCAACTTTTGAGTCCTCTGGCCTCCTGAGTTCAGGTCCCCAGCACCTATGCAACAGCCAGACAAGGTGGTGTGTGCCTGTAATCCCGGTTTTTATGGGGTAGAGAGACAAACAGGTCCTCAGGGCTCAGTGGGCAGCCAGCCTAGCCAATCAGTGAACTCCAGGTTGAGTAAGAATCTGAGTCAGAAGTTTACAAAAAATAATAATAATAAAATAGTGGAAAGCAGCTGAGGAAGACACGGCGACCCTCTGACCTCCACATGTGCCCCTCCCCACCCCCATCCACACACACACATAAATAGGAGCCTATGGGAGGCCAGTGCCCAGCACAGCTGGGGAGCCTAGAAGAGGGTAGAGCAAGCCTGGGGCCTCACTGAGCCTCACCAGACACGGGCCTGGAGGACGTGGTTTCCAGCCAGCAGGTTGGGGCAAGATTCTAGACTCATCACCCAGGAAGGCTTTGGTGGTTGGGACATGAATACCCTTCCAAGAACTCTGCTAGGAAGGGAAATCGGGAAGGAAGCAGAGTAGAGTCTGAGCCAGCATGGAGTCCTGAGATAGAGAACGCCACTGCCCCCTGTGCAGTTCTAACACAAGCACCCTGCCTCTGGAAGGTGCCAGCATGCTGTCACACTCCATAAGGGACAGACAGACATACCAGAACAGCCATGCTATAGCAGATGGGGAAATGCCAGAGGTTGGAGGTAAGAGTCAGCAATACCCGACCTTCATTTTTACATTCATTCCTCAAACCCATGCTGGACCTGGACCTGAGGACAAACCCAGGTGCCTCTGTGTCTTTCTTGAGACATGGCAGTCCTTGCTGGATGGACTCCAGAGGCTGTCCCCGGTCTTGAGATGCACACACGGGGTGCTAGAGAGACGTTTCAGCAGTTAAGAGAGTGTGCAGTTTTTCCGGAAGACCCAGGTTCGGTTCCCAGCAGCCACCTGCAGTGAGCCACACTCAAAACTGCCTACAACTCCAGCTCCAAAGGATCCGGTGCCCTCTCCCGGATTCTACATGCGCTTGTACTCAGGACACAAAGATAAGCATCAGTAAAAAGTATTTAAGAGATGCTCACATCAGGCGCGAGACAGCCCTTCCCCCACGTGCCCCCCCACCCCCGCCACCCTACCGTCCTAGGGCAGCTTCCACTGCCGCTGGGGTGGCTGGGGCAGGATCAGCTGGGGCTGTGCACTCAGGCTTTTGCCCAACAGAGCCGAGCTCGGGCTCAACATCTAATTCAATTTGTTCTGCCGAGATTGAAATATGAAATGGTTGCCAGTCAAAACGTTCAAAGTACGGGGAAGGGGGGAGAGAGGCGCCTGCTGGAATTTAAATTTTAATGAAAATGGCTTTAACCCTTCGGGTAAGGCCTGGAGGAAGCAGAGCCGGCACTCGGGTCCTGAGAATGAAGCCTCTGGGGCTCCATCTGCCTGTTCCCTCCCTCTCTGCCTCACCAGGAGTAGCTAGGCATTTTTTCCTGCAGAATCGCCATTTAAAGCTTAGAGGGGTGCTTGCTTCCTGGTAATGTATTCACCCCTGCTGCCGAGGGCCCATCAGCTGCTCCCCACATTCCCATCCCCTCTGGGACACATCATCCCCATCAGGACTTCTCATCCGCTCCTGGACTCTTGTGACCCCACCCACCCACCTCAGCCTCTAAGTTCAGGGCCCCTGTCCCCACTCCTTGTTCCTGTTGCAGCATGTTATTTGGGGTTTGGGGTCAGCCCCATCCTGACTGTGAGTCCCAGCATGGGCACCATGAAGAGGCAGAGGCCTTGGAACGCGTGTCAGCAAATAGGAGACAAGCCATAAGCCCCCGTGGGAGGCGCAGCCCAAAGTCCTGACCCGTGGCTCACAAGTATCAGATGCCTTTTGTCTTGGGGTTCTTCATGGGGTGGTATTTAGTTTGTTGTCATTCTATTTATAGTAGTGTGTTTGGGGGTGCTGGATATCAAACCTGAGATCTGATACTTGCTTGGCAGGTACTCTACCACTGAGCTACACCCCAGTTCCTCAAGTTCATGTCAGGGCCACAGGAAGGTAGTCCCCCTCTCTCTTGGTCAACCAACTCCTCCTTCAATTGCTTTGGTTTTTGAGACAGGGTTTCTCTGTGTAGCCCTGGCTGTCCTGGTACTCACTCTGTAGACCAGGCTGGCCTCGAACTCGGAATTCTGCCTACCTCTGCCTTCCAAGTGCTGGGATTAAAGGTGTGCGCCACCACTGCCCGGCTCAAATGAGTCTTGTACAGAAACCAAATAAAGTGAGAGTTGCTGAGGCCAAAGCTGGGAAGCAGGGCCATCGCCCTCACCCCTAGTATCTCCATGGTGGAAAAACAGCAAACTGAAACCAGGTCCAGAAACAGGAAGTGTGGGCTCGAGGCAAGGAGAAGACATCATTTTTCAGTTCATGAATTCTTTCTCGGGCACTTTTCCACAGCAGACCCACGGGTTTCCCCACGCTCTCCAGGATACTAACAGAGGCCAGTGAGACAGCTCGTTAGGTAAAGGTGCTTGCCTCGAAGCCCGACGACCTGAGTTCAGTTCCTGAGACCCACATGGTAGAAGGCAGGCACAAACCCCCTACAAGTTGCCCTCTGATCTTCACACACGTCCCGTGGCATTTACACATGACGCTGCCCACCCCACAGCACATGAAAAAATCTTAAATATGATATTTTAAATAAAAATAGTGACAGTCTAAGGGCCAGATCCAGACACTATGTGTTCACATAAAGTTTTATCCAAACATCACTGTGCCAGCTGAGATTACATATCATCTGCACGGCTCTGTGGTGGTAGAGCTGAGTTACCACATTAGAGTTTATGATCGCTCTTGCCCCATCACCGGCATAGACAACCCGAGCTGGGTTTCAGGTCGGCCACATACGGATTGTATGCTTCGACACTGGCTGTTTGGTCTCCTGGTGCCTTGGTGTCCTTCCAGGCAATAGCAGGACAGACACACAGGCTGGTGGGATGCCATCTCAATGGTTTCTATTGCTGCGATGAGACCCCATGAGTCATCTTGGGAGGAAAGGGTCTGCTGGATTTACACTTCCATGTCATTGTTCGTCATCGAAGGAAGTCACAGGGCAGGAGCCTGGAGACAGGGCTGCTCCCTGGCTTGCTCCTCATAGCTTGCTCAGCCTGCTTTCTTACAGAACCCAGGACTGCCAGCCCAGGGATGGAGCCACCCACAAGGGGCAGGGTCCTCTCCCATCGACCACTAATTAAGAAAACGCCCTACAGTCTTACCTACAGCCCTGTCTAATGGAAGCATCTTCTCAAATGGAGTTCCCTCCTCTCGGGTGACTCCAGCTTGTGTCGCATTCACATAAAATTAGCCAGCACGGACATGCCAAGAGCTAGGGTAGATCCCCAACACACACACTCTAAAACCTCTTCTGTCACTATCCCATCCCCCAGAGCAAAAACAGTGTTCTCGTCCTGCACACCTAGCAAGCTCCCCACTTTCCAGCAGCCCTGGGCTGAGGTCATCCCCATGAGTGACAAAATAAAAGGGATCTACAGGTTCATTATAGGATTGCCAGAAACCCAGGATGCCTTCCCCTCCGGCTTCCTTAATAGACCCCACTTCCCCTTAATTGCGGCTTTGCTGCCAGTGGTTCGCTGGGGCCGTGGCGTCCCTGCCCTGGGCTCGAGTCAGCAACAAACACATCCATCTGTGCAGACCCGCACAGCGGGAGCTCCTGCCTCCTCCTGGGAGCACTTGAGAGTCCTCCCGTCCCAGGACTCCAGGTGGCATCACCACGACGACCCTGGACCCCTGCAGTTCACAGAGTGACTCACTGGGATGGGGGGGGCTATCACACAAGGGGAAACTGAGGCTGGAGAGATAAGCCAAGGTACTCATGAATATTCCAGGAAGGTGCAAGGGGAAGGCAGGTGTTCCCTCCTCTCAGGTCGCATCTCATGATTGACTAAAAACTGGGCCTCTCTCTGCCCTTTGCGGTATGGGAGGAAAAAGTCTTAGTGAGGACATGCGTGACCATCCAAGAGAAAGCAGACAGAAAATACCTGTCCTGCCATGTGGTCTCAGACTCTGCTCCCCAGAGATGAGATGGGATCCAGACCCCCAAGTCCTTCTGCTCCCAATGTGAGCATTTCTTGGTAATGGTTCAACATGAGATACCTCGCAGTATCTAAAATGCAAGGCCATCTTGTACCTCAGTGCTCCATGAAAGAATTGCAGACTTGGAGGTTCCAGCTGCCCGGGTTTCTGAGAAAGAACACGGGTGAGGGTGTGCTCTGGCTACTGTGTCCAGCCATGGCCTCAGGGGCTTTTAATACAAAGAAGGTGAGTCTCCAGAGTGACCATGGGAAGGTGAGCATGCCTGGTTTGGAGGGCATGCATCCTCAGCCCAGAAGATACCCAGTTCACCAGTGTGGAGGAGGAAGAACTGCCCTGCCCCTCAGGCACACAGCCTGGAGTCCTCATATGGCTCCTGCTATATTTCTTGGGCAAGGACTTGGTAGCCTAGCTGCAAGGAATTCTGGGAAGCAGTCTGTCGTCGTTACCTTTCTCATTACCATGACCTAGGGAAGGAAGGCTTTATTCTGGTTCATGGCTTGAAGGTGCAGTCCATCATTTTAGGGAATGGCTGACAAGTGTGGCTGACAAGTGTGGCGGTCAA